ATACCTATATACATATATATATATATATATATATATATATATATATATATGTAAAGAAGTGATGCCTAATACTGCCAGGGTTGAAATGTGGGAGTGAAAGCAAAGAATCTTCTTAAGATCGGACTAGAGTCTGGAAGACAGAGTATAAGAATTTCTGCTCCCAGATTTTGAATCAAATACTCCTAGTATTATGATAATTGGATAAAAAGAACATGAACACTTTTCATATTGGTTGAATTTTTGTAGAGGGATCAAAAACTTGGCAAGAATAGAGAAAAATTCTGTTGTAATGAAGTGTGCTTGAAAACAAAAAAAGACTGCAAGGCTGAATTGTAACTACACTTCTGGTGAGAAGAATTGTAGTCTTTTTTTATTGTCTCTGCTGAGAGGAGTCTATCATCTGTTAATATGAATATTTGTGCTTCCAGTATTTTGATTTTTTAATATTAATGAATTACCAAAAAAAAAAAAAAAGGAAAGTAAGAAAAGAAAAAGAAAAAAGTACAGTTTATGTCTATGACATTTCTAGATTGATAACTGGGAACTTCCAAATGGACTTGTAAGTTTCTTAAAATAATGTCTTCTGATATGATATCACTAACTTTAAGGCCCTACTATTATACTTTCTTATTTTCTGCTTTAAACAATTGTAACAATTACCTTTTAAATAATCTGAATCAAATAAGTTAATTTCCCCATTACAATTATATTCTCTAACTAGGCAAAAGTTTTGTCTAACTGTTCACACCATCATTTCCTTCCCTACAACCGCTGTATGAACGTTAAATCACACTTCTTGCTCTTTTCTTTTTTAGGTTCATTCAATATGCCTCTTTATTTATTTTTTATTTTTTCATTTATTTTTATTAGTTGGAGGCTAATTACTTTACAATATTGTAGTGGTTTTTGCATACATTAACATGAATCTTGCTCTTATACACAAAGACACTGAATTCCTATCCCATGATGTAATCAGAGATAATGCAATCAGTCACCAATAAAGACACATTCCTTAGGTGAGATGCTTTTGTTGGGGGCATTAAGATCAAAATATGTGTAATGGCCAGAGAAGATCTAGCTACATTGTAGCACTAAAGTAGCTATACTACATGATAAGATTCCAAGTCAAGTCTCATTAACTTGTCTTAGCCAATAAGAATTCTCTCTTTAGACTACCCATGTAATTGGTTATTCATAAAGAGGAAGTATATTGAACTTTGGCTTTCACTATGGAGCATGGAGACCAACACACTGCATTTTACACACCACCATTCAATAACCTTGGAGAAGGAAATGGCAACCTACTGCAGTAATCTTGCCTGGAAAATTCCATGGACAGAGAAACCCGACAGGCTACAGTCCATGGAGTCGCAAAGAGTTGGCCATGACTGAGCACATCAGCATTCAGTTACCAGAGCAGATTCTGTTCAAACTTGAGTAACCAAGAGTGGCATTGATATCTTCAAAAGGCTCCATTCAATGTCTTATAATATAATTTGATTACTGGAGACTTACTTGATTTAGCAAAAAACCTTAAACAACACAGATTTGAACCGTGTGGATCCACTTATATGTGGATTTTTAAAAATAGTAAATACTAATAGTACCACTCTGTCTCAGGTTGGTTGAAACTGGATTTGGAGCTGCAAATATGAAGGAAAACCACAGGTATATCAGTTCAGTTGCTCATCGTGTCTGACTCTTTGTGATCCTATGGATTGCAGCACCCCAGGCTTCCCTGTCCATCACCAACTCCCAGAGCCTACTCAAACTCATGTCCATCCAACCATCTCATGCTCTGTACATAGTGCTGACCATAAGTTATGGTCAACTGTGAGGAGGGTCAGTATCCCTAACCTCTGCATTGCTCAAGGATCAACTATTGTTTGAAGTTGAATAGTATCTTTTATGAAAAAAGATGGTTTGAATTTAATCAAACTTTTCCTTTGAGCTTTGCGGACCAGTTAAATACAATCTGGTAAGTTTGTATGAAGAATTCTATGCAGCTATCATATATCATAGGCTTCTCAAGTAGCTCAGCAGTAAAGAATCTGCTTGCCAGTGCAGAAGACTTATGTTCCATCTCTGGGTCAGGAAGATGCCCTGGAGAAGAAAATGGCAACCCACTCTAGTATTCCTGCCTGGTAAATCCCATGAACAGAGGAACCTGGCATGCTACAGTCCATGGGTTGCAAAGAGTCGGATACAACTTAGTGACTAAACAGCAACAACAAAATCATATTTATATGTATATCATTTCCCAAGAATACTGAAAAGAGATATGGTCCTGAAGCAATGTTAAAGGTATATTATAACTTTATGATATAATCCTAATTCTGAAACATATTCATAGTACATTCAAAGAAAAAGTCTAAAAGAATACATCAAACTGCATATAACGGCTAT